CATCTAAGGCTAAATGAAACTGGTACGTCAAGGACATTAATCTGTTTCCATAAAAGTCAAGTGATTTTTTAAGAATATGATTACATCTAAAACCCCTTTACTAAAACTTTCATTGAAGGATTTAATTATTGTTCACAGTTAAGGGAAACAAAAACCTATCTGAACAACATCAAGCCAAACAGCTTTCCTTAATTTACGTTCCTACTAAAGAGATGGTTGCTGATTCTTTAACAAAGGCACTTGACAGTGAAAAATTCAGAGACTGCATTAAGTTCCAGGGATTCCACAAATAAGGAGGGTGTTGAAATATGATTTGTGAGAATAGTTCATTTTGGTATCACATGTGTTCTGTATAAGTTAGTTGTCATGGATACCAGATGTTGTTTTGTGAAAAGTTATGTTGTGTTTTGTATTAAGTAAAACTTGTGCCTAATACACCTTTCTCTTTATCATTCTACACAATTTAAGTCTATTTACACAATTAACACAATTTATTTCCTTTTACAACAAGTGTGAACTCACCAAAATGTATAAGATCATTGCGCGCAGAGTAGCGTCATAACGAAACGTTCTTTACTTTCTGGATAGCCCTCGTATATGTGAATTTGAACCGATGGTGTTATTGGCCTCTGGGGACCTCAAAACAAAAAAAATTAATCGGCCCCGGGTCTAGGTCTTACGATGAGACCTACGGTAAAAGCTTATTCCCTATATGGCAAATTTGCTAAAATGGCAAAATAGTTAGTTGAAAATGCAAATAAACACTCCCGAGTACTCTAAGATATGGTTTTCTGCTGTATAATGTAGTTTCAAAGGCTGAATTTAAGGGTTTGTGAGACAAAAAAGTAATAGCCTTTACTTTATGCTCTTCAGTCTAGAGCATATTAAACAAGTGTGAAGAGGTGAGTTTTTATACTGAATCACATAAATAATATCTATATAAATAAAATTAGAGTTTTGTCTGTACATTGCTCAGAATTATATGTTTTTAGGTTATTTTTACGTTTTATACATTAAAGAAGCAGAAACAAGTCTTATATCTATTTCTGTCTGTCTGCCTGTCTGTCTTTCTGTAACACTCAAGATGGCATTTTATGCAATCTTCTCCATGAAAACGAGAGTACCTATCAAGATCCAAGTAATTTTAATGTATTCACTGGATTGGGGAGAGTGTCTTTAGCCATTAAAACATGGCCTCACTACTTTGTAAATAAAATTACAGACGTTCAAAAATGCGGTTTTGTGCGATTTTTGCCAAGTTTTCGGTCAATTTTTATCACATAATCATCTATGAAATAACGAACAGCTGTTCGGATCAAGATTATTTTTTCTAGCTGTCACTGATATGTTTACAAATGTTGTTTACAAATACCGCAATCATTTCCGATTACGTTTTGAAAGCAAATCCCAAACAAAGTGACATTAAAAACGTTTTTCTTACATAACTGGTTTAATTAATCGCAAGTGCAATATTATAGTGTAAATGAAATTAAATAACTAGGAGATTATTTGTGTATGAAATTGTTCTTGAGTTTTGATAACCAGAAAGAACCCCTTGAATCAGTGTTGTATAGGACTGGGACACTTATAATGATCGTTGACAATAGATTACAAACAAGGTTTCCACTCACTGACGGCGCTTCAATGGCGATTGTGTAAAGTGTAAAGTAAAAAAATCACAACTGCAGTGGGTGATTGTAAGTAATAGAGGTATACGGATGATGCTAAACTCGCTTTTCCAATGTGTCACTCTCTGTTTCTACTCACCGTGTGATGCAATCGCTGGACCATACAGCCAATAGGCCCATAGCCCATCTCTTGGGTACGTACGTCTACCTATTTATTCATAACAACCTTTTCGATGACGATCCTTGATACCTGTACTTTTTCATGGAATCCATGGCCTGCCTACTTGAGAAATAAAGTTACAAATGTCCAAAAACCCAACGCATTTTGTCATTTTTGTCACATTCAACTGACTACTATAAGATCCCCGTGCGTAGAACGGGCACACAGCTAGTGTCTAAATAAAACAATAATCTTAAAATAAAACTATAAATTTGGAACTCTAATTCAGTCACATATAAAATTATATACCATAACTTATTTGTTATATGTGGAAATCATCTCCATTTTCAATTTTACCGTGTTTAATTAAGTAGTAAAGCCAATTTCTCTGGGTAGACTTTCCTTAAATTTAAGTAACAATCATTTCCATACAGATGATCAATCAATATTGAAAATATCTACCATAAAGTTCAATAACAAGCTCATGATAATATTTTACATCTCAGCTGTTGACCAGCATTGTTGCGAGTTGCAAATATTATGCGCTCTCTGGTTGCGACATGCTTGTCATTAGATCGCAGAATGTCAAACAATAGGATCGTCCTTGGATAGTAGAATAGATGGAAAAACATAAAAGAATGATGTCACATGTATTTAAACGTTTTTTGACAGTTGCATTGAAATAATAATACAAATATGTTTATTTTCGGGCCATTTGTTTGGATCATCGTTAAAATTTTATAATCCGTGGGATCGCCAAACATCAATTTTGGGATTTGTAGCCAAACCTGTCGCCACAAACAACTATGAAAAATCAGGCATCTATAGAATTAACTGTAACAACTGTCCAAAGTACTACATCGGCCAAACTGGAAGAAACAAAGATTTTAAGAACATATACCTAAAAGATCACAAAATCAGCAATCCAGTTATACCGAACATTTAATATCGGAATCAAACAACTACACATCTATTGATAAGAACATGGAAATAAATGAAGTATTACCCAAAAGTTTTAAGCTTGATGTTAAAGAAGAATTCACCATCTACAAAGCTAAAAAACTCGACCCATTTAACATTTTAAATTATCAGACTTCTTTCCATTCTTTGATACATATATTGACAAGCTACAAATCAAACAAGTATTAAATAAGAAGAACAAAACAAACTGAAATACAGGTGGCACTGGAGATATGAAGACACATTATGATTCAGTCACTTTTATTTAGTCAGTTACAGTGATAAGATAGTGCTGGCCAGCCTTTACAGTTTTAACCAGTTTTATGGCTTTCTATTCCATTTTTCAGTGAATTTCCCTATTAGCCCAGTCAATAAAGGGACAAAATAGTGCTTTGTCGGAAGTAATTAGTGAAAGGCTGATTTTTTCATGGATGTTAGTAGATCATATAAGGAACATTTTCTAAAAAGTCCCCGCCCCTCCCCCTCTTGCTTTCCCCCCTACACCCTTTTAAGTGTATTTGTGTAATCTTTTATCAATTTATCAATATCTCAGAAACAAACAGCAATAGAATAAATTTTGTTTCGCCATTTCAATCCTTAAAATATTCTCTACAAAAAACGTTATAAGAGTGTAATCGATATACTCAGTAGTTTTCTTGTAATTTAAGTTTAAATGTAAATTTCTTCACTTTTAAATTTCAACCTTCGTGTGTTAAGTTGATTTGTATTGAAATGAGACGAGATAGAAAAAAAAGTTTAATATAAAAAGTTGGCGTATTTCTTAATCTTTAAATTGATATAGGTTTTACGTATTTTAATTGGAGCCAGTTGACAGAATCAGTCCGAAAACGGGAGGCGGCGTCGGGCGCAAGAGCGCTCGCGGCGCGGATCCGCGAGAATAGTTAGTCAAGTCAACCTGTGTTTTTAGGGAGGGGAAATTAGTAAAAAGCTGATTTTTTGCCCATCGACTACTACCATTTAGAAAAGAGTTTAGACAAAAGTCCCCGCCCCTACCCCTCTTGCTTCCCCCCCTGTGCCCCCCTAAACATATAAAGTGTAAGGGTTTCGTAAATCACGTTTTTCTCGATTGTTAAACGACATATTAAATTGCAATTAGTTTTATTGTCTTTGTTATAAAATTTCCTACAATCATGTTCAGTTAACTTTCGTTGTAGCTGTTATCTTTTGTTCATTATTTGTATACAAATGTAAAGATTTATATATTTTTGAACATATCATTTTATTTTTGTTGCCTTAACTTTTTCCTTGGATCATTGTAATACTGTGTGCCATTGCGGCATAGGAAATAACATTTTGGGTTAGAACACGATCACTTTTTAGCCAATATCTACTCAGATGAAATTCCAACCATTCCACCCCAATTAATCAAGATTGCTTCTTAACCTTCCAGAGGCCGCATCACGGAAGTAACCTCCAGGGATGTTTTATTTTACACGATTATATTATTTTGAGTGGTGTCGGCAGTGTGATTGTCACTGTACCTCACGCACCTCATTCCTAGAATCGGGTGAAGGTCAAAACTCACCCCTACTATTTTATATTTGTTAGTTTTGTTCAGTTTTGTAAGAGGCTGGAAGTAGCTTCCGTGTGCGCCCTGCCGATTCTCGTACAGCCTTGAGGCAACTTCCGTGTGCGACCTCTAGTGTAGTGTGTGCGTTGATTATTGAGTGTAAATAATAATTTTTTTACGATTCATGACATTATTTAATAAATATATAGTTTTTAAACAATGAGTGAAGAAGTTAAATTTCAAACTGCAACACTCTTAGCCAGTGCTGAAAGGAAGATTCACAAACGACGTATGTACAGAGTAATTTAGTATTAAGATACCCATTATATTAATTTACTTAAAACATCAGGTATTGTGAGTGCTATTATCTAGAACCGCATTATAGGACATTGTGGTGAAAATTAAAATGAACTTCTTGAATATATTCTTGTAAAAGATTTCTTCATATACTTTTATGTTAGAACATTAGATAGAATAGTAGTTTAATTTTATATTTATATTTATAAAATGTAATTAAGTTATTTTATAATTAAGAGTTCACTAAACACATTTTTGATGTTTAAAATTAAAAATAAAACTTAATTTTTGCACTAAAATACAAATTTTACTTCATAAATGTTTGCTTTTATTGACCTGGAAGTAACCTCCAGGTGCGCCCTCTCCCGTTTTAAAAACCAATGCTGCGCCCTCTGAAAGGTTAACATGGAACTTAATGTTTCAGTGTGTTGGAACTGACCGCAACATCCCTGACATTGTCCTAGATACAAGAATAAACACACTTTTCCGTCTACTCAGGTTTTATCACAAAGACTTTGAAACTATATCAATAAAAGCAGAAAGTGAGTTTTCAGAAAAGTTGAACCAGATATTTGAAACATATCTGCCAATTCTGCAATATTCTAGCAATATTTTTGGCAACATTACTACTTTCAATTTACCAAAGGTATGTAGCATACTATTCTTTTTTACATTAGGTTAATTCTTAAGCTAAAATATTTCAAACACATTTCAGGCAAGAGTTTCAAAACACTAGCATTTCTTACCAAAGAGTAAGATTTTAGAGTTCATGCATAAACAAAGATTAATAAATTCAACATGTACAGTTTATTTTTACTTTATGTTCAAAATGCTATCATTCAAAACTCCTAGTCAGAATTGTCTTTAAACACATTTTTATTAACTTTACACTTAAAATATAAGAATAATAATTCATGTCCTGACAACACCTTATTGCAAGATATTTTGTTGACGTTTTATCAGGAGTATTTATACCACTTGACATATTTTATGGTTTGTTTTCAGAGTGCCAGTAGCGTATTTTTGGAAGCTATGCAGATACTACAGTGTTTTCAAGACAAGGAAGGTGTCATGGGTGGAGCTTTACTATACCAAAACAAGTTAGTTAAATTTTGTTTTTTAATACTGGATCCCTCAAGTTGTCTTGCCATCACATTAATTGATTGAAAATTTTAGTTCTACAACATAATCTTCTACAACTGTTTTAATCACTGTAGAAGGTATTGCCTCCAAATAGATTTCTTGAAAGAAATGCAACTTGTTTAAGAAGAAGGACAAGACAGACAACCTATTAAGGAGCAAAAGTGATTAGGTACAAATTTTTGTAATAAAAAAAAAATTGGCCTAAACTTGCTATTAATTTGGAACTTAAAGCTGTGTAATTTTACGAGGCAACCAGAAAATGACATCTGAAAATTTCATAGTGGTATCTGAAAACATGATAAACAAACCAAAGTAGACAATGTACTTGCATGTCTGGCTCAGTCTTCATGTTTTGATATCTATCAGGCACACAGGGCCGATTTTGACCCTGTCAGCGTCCTAGGCAAAACGAAAAAAGGCCCCGTTTGCAATAGATTATACAGGGTGGCTGAAAAGTAATTTGCACTCCCCCCCCCCTTAACTTTTGACCCTTTTGAGATATTTGAAATTGGTTTGCGGCAAACTTCTTAGAAATGAGGGGCTACAATAATTATGGTAAATTTTGAAAATTTTGCCCTTAGGGGTTGTGGGGGTAGGGGGTAGCTCAAAATTTTCAAATGACAAGTATAGTCGAGTTTGGTATCATTTTACAGGTCTTGACGAAACATAACAATTGACATAAAGAAAACCAAAATCGGCCCACTAATAACAAAATGGCGCCCTAAAACGTTTCAAATCCATATAACCATGAGGGTTGCTGAAAATTAACTTGCACCCCCTTTAACTTTTTTACTATTTGAGATATTTGAAATCGGTTTGCGGCAACTTGTTTGGATATGAAGGGCCACAATAGTATAGTCAGTTTTGAAAATTTTGCCCTTAGGGGGTAGCGGGGGTAGGGGGTAGCTCAAAATTTTCAAATAGCAAGTATAGTCTAGAGTATAGAGTTTGGTATCATTTTGCAGGTCTAGACAAATCATAACAATTAACATAAAGAAAATACAAATTGGACCATAAATAAACAAAATGGCAGTTCAAAATTACCTTTAATGACCATTGTCTTAATCATTTTTAGCTGCAATGCTTTATGTTAATTGTTATGTTTCGTCAAGACCTGCAAAATGATACCAAACTCGACTATACTTGCTATTTGAAAATTTTGAGCTACCCCCTACTTCCGCTACCCCTAAGGGCAACATTTTCAAAACTGACCATAATTATTGTAGCCCTTCATATCCAAACAAGTTGCTGCAAACCGATTTCAAATATCTCAAATAGTAAAAAAGTTAAAGGGGGTGCAAGTTACTTTTCAGCCATCCTGTATATACAACAGAGTGTCCACAGACCGGGAATTATGCATGAATTTTTTTTTTATTGGGAATTATGCGCGAATTGTGTATTTCTACCTGGAATTATCAATTTAAACGCGATCGCGCATGACAACTGTGACATTTCTGTGACCGTAAGATACAATAAAATGTCTACACACGGCCACGAGGGATGATCAGAATATTGCTGCGATCGCGGAAGATGATGATGATCTCCACACGACTGCAGAATATGATAAACATTTTGCCGTAATTGCAAGAGACGATCACGATGTCTACAGGACCGCTGCAGATACAATAATCATGTCTAGAAGGCCATAAGGGATGATCAGAATTATGAAGCGATCAAGCAAGACGTTGATAATGTTTCACACAACCGCGGGAAAAGGTCAGAATTTTGCCTCATTCGCGCAAGACGATGGTGATCTTCACACGACCGCGGGACTCCGGGGATAATTACCACTTTGCCGCAATCGCATGAGACGATTACTATGTCCACACAACTGCGGGAGACGATATAATCATGTCTTCACGGCTGCGAAGTATGATCAAAATTTTATCGCGTTTGTGCAAGACAATGTTAATGTCCACACGATCGGGGGAAAAGATCTGAATTTTGCCTCATTCCTTGTAAACGATGATAATCTACTCAACACCACAGGACATTTTCATATTTTGCCACGATCTTATGTCTTATGTCTTAAGACGATAATTATGTGTACACTACCGCGGAAAATTGTCAGAATTTTGCCGTGATCGCGAGAGATGATGATGATGTTTACATGACCATGAGGGATTATCAGAAGTTTGTCACAATAGCATTCAAATACAACCACATTTTTTTTATTTTCAAATTTTTTGGGGCCTCCCCCAGTGGCGTAACAGATTTTTACGGGCCTCCCTACAAACTTATTTTTTGGGCCCCCCTCTTATGAGTTATTTTTGGACCAACCTGTACAATGATTAAACAGATTAATCATAAATAGAGTAGTAAATAAATTATAGGTTATGTTCCTTAAAAGGGTGTGTTAAGTATTTCAGTCATGGTTTGATGAAAGAGTTACATCACTACATCATTATATCAATAACAGGGTTTGTAAATAGTTTTTAAATAAAATTAAAAATACCTTAATCAGTATCAGAATGTTTATATCAAGGAGAATTTACATTTAATTTATCACACATGTTATCCATTTTTACTATCCTGATAATTCGACTAATTGATTAATTACAAGGCAAAAATGTGGTTCGGATTCCACTATAAACTGCATGTCCCTTAGTTGCCATTGGCTATATTGGCTATTAATTAACAGCTGTATCTAAGGAATATGTCGGCCTTAGTCACTATCATTGACTATATATACCTACAGAAGACATCCCAGGCTTATGGACCGGTAGTAGTGTGAGCCAGGTCTCGGGAGCAAGTAGTTGATGTAAGCTGCCGGTAGGCGCGCGATAGTAGGCTATCTGCGCTCTCTCTCGCACATTCCCCCCTCCCCCCGCGGCCTACTCTGCATCGCTCTCACTTGTACATTCCTTCTCTCTTTGTCTCGCTTCCCCACCGACCACGTGTGCACGTGACTGACACTGCTACACTGCTACGCTACACTACAAACTACATTACAACTGCTTGGACAATGAATACAAGCTGGCGCTCGTCAAACCCTACGTTAATGTAGGCCTAGCTCACGATGATAATATTAGCATGTGTGTTGCGCGATTATGTGGTACGGGAACATATGATATGATGTGAACGAGTACTCTAATAAATAAAGGCACAATTAATATGTTGCGCAAACATATTGAGTAATCGTGATATTTTCAGTAAGTTAATTGATTTGAGTTTGGTTAAGATATACAAACTTCAATTTAAAATAACAGCTTAAAACCTCTAAAAATTAGACAAACATTGTCATACAGCAATAAATCATAATGAAAAAACCTACTCTTGTTAGCTTCTGCTAGTTATCATTGGCTACCGGAACGTGCTGTTTCAAAACAGATGCATTTTGGTGATAATAAAATTATAACTGCCATACATGTTACCGTAATTATAAATAAATCATTTTTAAACCGATAAAACACTTAAATCCTACTATACTGTATATACAGGGTGCCCCATAAGTAAACAGCCAAACTCCGGGAAATGGTTCTATGGGTCAACAAAAAAAGAAAATCAAGAGTACATTTTTTCCAAAATCGCTTCGTTAACTAGATATCCACCATTTTGTATTTTTACATAAACATTTTTATTTTTGGACTTTTTCAACCGATCGTTATTAAACTTGGTATGTAAGTTAAGGTAGAAGAGCCCCGTGTTAAAAAATACAACTTGTGTGTCAACAAGTGTTGATTCAACTTAAAATTTCAAAATGGCGGCCATTTTAATTGTTTAAACTTATATGTCTAAAATGAGCCGTTTTGTTCATTATATGATTTATTGCTGTATGACAATGTTTGTTTTATTTTTAGAGTTTGTTAGATCTCATTTTAAATATTGAGGTTTGTATATATTAACCAAACTCAAATCAATTGCAGAACATACCTAAAATATCATGATTACTTAATATGTTTGCTCAACATTGTTATCTTCATTTTTTGAGGTGTTGCCTTCCGGATAATTTTAAACGAGATATAAGGAACATCTACCGAAATCTTCCATCCACAAACCCAATTCCGTATTTAGATCATTTGACTAATTATAACCACGACGTCTCAAATATTGACAAAACCATCGATGTATTGCATTTTTTATAAAAATAGAAGTCGTTTTCTAGATACAATTGAAGCGTTTGACATTTTCATCGCCGGCAAAAATCCTCAACACGTTCTCAACAAAAAAACGTCGTTTGAGTCAGCCATAATTTTCAAAGCTGCCTCATTCATAGAAAGATTATCAGAAGACAATGGAGCTGATAACAATACGAGGGGTAGGAGGGGAGGGGAAGGACACGGCGACGGTCGGTCTTGACCTACACCCTGTACCTGCAGCCGTGCCATAATCATTAGTGTTTTGTTTGTTCAAATGTTTGTTTGGGTCCGTGTTTATGTTTTGACGACTTCTTGACGACCTCCTAGTATAGGAGCAACAATTCGTCTTAGGCTTGACAATGACACCTTGGGTGTCGAAACCGGTTACTAAGCAGACGACCAATGGATTACGTTGGCACAAAAAAGTATTTAACCTCTAGGATATACTGTTGTTTTATTGATGTAAAAGTACAAATGGAGACAGTAATGTTTAATGTTGTTTTCATGCGTTTGTTATACAATTAATTACCACACATATTGGATTAACTGAGAACTCAAATGCAAATAAAGGGAGCTCAACTTTTATTTAATTAATTAAAGCATTACCCTTAATTAATATAAGTACTCGTTCACATCATAAAATATGTCCCCATACTACATAATCGCGCAACACACATGCATTAATGTTATACTAGTGTACCTGTTGCTCGAATTCAAGCTATTGTTAAGTATTACAGGCGTTATTTTTAACAGTCTTAATTTCTGATGACTTTTAAAGATTCAACTCAAAGATTATGGAAATACTCAAGATGTACATAACAGATCGATATAATCAACATTTTTTTGTAAATACCGTATCTTATTGAGCGGAGCGAGCGAAGCTCTTATACGTCGACTCTTATGCATTTCGTAATACGCAAACTCCTCCTAGACGGCTGAATCAATCGTTTTCAAATTTTGCATCGTGATAAAGACCATATCGGTGAGTGCCAACATCTATATAGCGTTAAAAAAGTCTCTCAGGAATCCGCCCCACTGGGTCTCAAAGTTTCAATGTAATCCTAATGGAAGCAGAAACATAAACAAAAACATATGATCAGCTGTTGACTTTTGAATGCAGTAGATAAAGAAATAGCTAATAGCATTACTCCACAGATATTAGAACAGAAACGGTATGGATCATAAATATAATCAAATGACGACACTAGATTAAGGTCCGTGACGTAGGAAGTGGTGAAGGAAGTAGTAAAGGTGAACAGTCTGGAGCGTGGAAACTGTTTATGACGATTAGATTTAGGTATCTGCATTCCTAAAATTCTATGGGAAGGCCGGAAAACGGGTCCGCGACGTAGGAAGTGGTGAAGGAAGTAGTTAAGGCGAGCTGTCCGGAGTGTGGGAACTGTTTATGACGATTAGATTAAGGTATCTGCATTCCTAAAATTATATGGGAAGGGAGGAAAACGGGTCCGCGACGTAGGAAGTGGTGAAGGAAGTAGTCAAGGCGAGCTGTTCGGGGTATGGGATCTGTTTATGACCATTGGATTAAGGTATTTGCAATCCTAAAATGCTATAGGAAGGGAGGAAAACAGGTCCGCGACGTAGGAGGTGGTGAAGGGAAAACTGTTTGTGACGATTAGATTAAGGTATCTACAAACCTAAAATGCTATGGGAAGGGAGGAAAACAGGTCCGTGACGTAGGAACTGGTGAATGAAGTAGTAAAGGCGAGTTGTCCGGAGTGTGGGTTCTGTTTATGACCAATAGATTAAGGTATTTTCAATCCAATAATGCTAAGGGAAGGGAGGTAAACCGGTCCGTGACGTAAGAAGTGGTGAATGAAGTAGTAAATGCGAGCTCTCCGGAGTGTGGGGACTGTTTGTGGCAATTAGATTAACGTATCTAAAATACCAAAATGCTATGAAAAGTGGTGAAAACAGGTCCACGATGTAGGAAGTGGCTTAGGAAGTAGTAAATTATGAGCATAGTGTGAGAACCGTCTATGGCAGTTAGATTAATGTATCTTCAATCCTAAAATGCTATGAGAAGGGAAGGAAACAGGCCTCACGACGTAGGAAGTGGTGATGGAGGTAGTAAAGGCTGACAGTGCAGAGTGGGGGAACCATTTGGGCAGTTAGATAAATGTATATAATACTTAAATGCTATGAGAAGGGAAGGAAACAGGTCTATGACGTAGGAAATTGTGAAGGAAGTAGTAAGGCTTGCAGTGCAGAGTGTGGGAACTGTCTTTGGCAATTACATTAATGTATCTGCAATCCTAAAATGCTATGGGAAGAGAGGGAAACAGGTCCACGACGTAGGGGGTGGTGAAGGAAGTAGCTAGTAAAGGTGAGCAGTGTTGAGTGTGGGAATGGATTAATGTATCTGCAATGCTAAAATGCTGTGGGAAGAGACTGTAGACTGTAGGTTAAAATGATTACGAAGCACGAATCGATAGGTACATATTTCGATACATGTAATTGTTTACAATAGAAATTTAAAACTGAGTTGACAACAGCAGATTTTTACTCCATAGAGGCTAAAAAAGATTTTTACTCCCTAAAGAGTAAAAATGCTACTTTAGAACCGCAACGCATGCATTAAAAAAACGACTGTTTTTACTGCAGTATGACAAAAACAATATAATATGAACCCTTGACTCCGCTCAATTTTGTGGATGCCTCTGCGAACGCCACCTAGTCATATTTCAAAAGCTGATCTTGTTTTTTAATGTTTTCTACAAATATATGTGTCTGTTAGCGCGATAACTCGAGCAAAAATGATCCGATTTTGATGAAATTTGGTATAAACGTGTAAACCTACATTTATTCAAACGAGTTCGCGAACCAGCATGATCGAACTACGGGAACAGGGTTTTATGGGGTAAAAATGGGGTTTTCTCATTTTTTGCCCTGAAAACATAAAGTTTTGCAATTTCTTTCCAAACCATTTTGTAGAGCTCAAAAATACAAATAATTTAGTACATTGAAGCATTTTTGGTTACGGCAAAAATCGCAAAATAGTGTAAATTTAAAATTACCATGCTATTCTTATCAATTTTAGGCCCTTGCTTATTTATTATTTACGTTAATGACATTTGCAATAGTACAAAAATGAGTATTTTTCAATATGCAGATGACACTGCTCTCATCTGCAAAGGCATAACCGACGAGCCGATGCATCTCATTATCACCAAAGAGCTTCAATCGCTTCAGAACTGTTTTTCAGTAAATGGGCTTTCAATGAATATGTCAAAGACACAATTAATACAGTTTTCACCCTCTAGTTTAAGTTCAAATATTTCAGTAAATTGTAACTCGTCTCTTATTCACACTGAAAACTCTGTAGACTACCTTGGAATAGCTCTTGATTCAAATCTTAATTGGCACCAACAAATTAAAAATGTTTCAAAATGACTAGTCTCTGCCACATTTGTTATTCGTGTAATTAGATATACCACAAATTTAGAAACACAATTAATGACATATCACGCTTATTTTTCTTCTATTATGAACTATGGATTAATTGTTTGGGGATCTTCCTGTCAGGCTAAAAAATATTTACTCTTCAAAAAAGAGCTATCAGACTGATCGCAAGAGTTCCTAAGACTGCACACTGTAAAGACTTGTTCATATTATTTAAAATTTTAACCTTATACAGTTCATATATTTATCAACTCGCTTTAATGGTGAAGGGTGATATAGGATTATTCATGGATAGCCAACAAAACCATTCTCATAACACGAGATTTAAAAATTTAATCAAACCGGTTCAACATAGGCTTCAACTGTTCCACCTCTCCCCTCAATATATGGGACCACAAATTTACAACAAATTACCCACGTTCATTAAAAACACAGAGTCTGTAGCTAGCTTAAAAAAAACCTTGAAAAAATGGTTATTGGAGAAGGCTTTTTACAGTGTTGATGAATTCTTATCAGAGCAAAAATAGATTTTAATTTTCTCATTTTTAATTTTAGTCTACTTTTAGTATTAATTAAGACTTATGGACAAATCACTTGTCAATTAATTTGATGTAATGTGATGATTGATAATAAATAAAAATATAAAAAAATTACCACTTTTATTTTTCCATTTAGGATTTTTTTTTCTTTTTCCCAACAGGTTTTTCTTTCTTATTTGTTTTTATTCTTTTCCCCTACCAAGTTTTGCTTTAGTTTTCATTATGTTAGTAACTGCCCAGGCGGCAGCTCTCTCACCAGTACTTGAGTCTGAAGCTTTTACCCTTTCCCAAGCTAATAAGCTGTCAGCCACTGATCTAATTTTACTATCCTTCGATCTTGAGTATGCTATATTGTGGTTTTTGCGTGCAGCATCCAATTTATTTATGACTGGATCACCCGTTGCTTATCTCTTCAGACACAGGGTAGAACTTCACATACCCAGCTATCAGTACTGTGGACCTGGAACGAATATAAGGAAGAGATTAACAAGAGGTGATCCAGGCATAAATAAATTGGATGCTGCATGCAAAAACCACGATATAGCATACTCAAGATCGAACTATAGTAAAATATACACAGATACCCTTTTGGTGGTCGTGCAAACTTAGCACAAAGTTTCATTTTATGATTTTGAAAAGTTTTAGTGTCCCCAAAAAATGAGGGATTATGGGCTCAACTGGAGATTACTTTATATATAAGATATATTAACCTTTAACATTACCAATTTAATTTCAAACAGTATGATTTAAATTGGCATTCTGTTAGTTAGGTTTTTTTTAACCCGCCTTTTGACAGTGTGTGGGTCTGGATCCGGATCCGAATTTTTCAAGATCCGGATCCGGTACCGACATTTTCTTGGATCCGCCCATCACTAATTTTTAATTTGGGTTATGTTATAAAAAAACACCATGTAGGTATAAAAAAAACCCTGCTAGAAGAGTTTAAGCACAGATTTTTGTATTTTCAGAGTAGTTGCTTCACAACTGAGTGCAAAACTAACAAAACTCCTAGTCATCTCTGATCCTTATAGAATAAAGGTAAGCTGTTTATGTATTTTAAAATAGTTTATAGGTATAATTTAAAAAAATCACTTAACTCCTATATTAGTTAATTTGACAGGTTTTGATGTAATCTGACTTAAGTTGATTAACACCTATATAGTAAAGATTTTCTTTTAAAACCCTTTCCGCTCAAGTGGCGGGGAGCCCCGCCGTGCATCATGGTCGCACAAACTCTAATGTCGGGCCAGGCCCGCCGTAGATATGACAACGTACTGTGCTTGTATTTGGACAAACATAGATATTTTATTTCACCACTAGGGTTGATGTTTGACATCTGCTGCCATCTGGGGAATTTTTTCAGAACCGTTTGAACACATATTCAATGCTCAATTTAATCTTAGAACTTATGTTAGTCGTCTTGGCTCGTTAGCTGAACTGAACTGCTGTCTGTAGCGGCAGCTGACTGACTGCACGGCAGCTGTTTACTAAATGTTGCTTGGTTTGTTTACTACCGAATGTAGTTGTTATTACCGAATTGCGTGCTTTACTTTTACTTTTCATTATTGTTTACATACAATCAGATATTTTCAGTTAGTTGTTTGTTTTCGTGTTTTACTTAACTGTTATGATTTGAGTTAGTTCTTGTCACGTAAGCCTATAAAATGGATGATTCGTTGCTAAATCCCAAAATTGCTGATGGAACAAATAATATAAGTGATTCTGATATAGCTGGTTTGTTGTTTGAAGACGATTTATTATCAAATAGCAGTTCAGATCCAACCGATCCAGAAGTAGACAACCGACAAAAATAGTGATGAAGATGGTGATAATAGTGATCCCGATTTGCCTGTTGAACATATTGATCCATTTTATCTTCAAGATGATATAAACTTTGGGACATTAGATGGACCTGGAATACATAATGTAAGTACCGACTTGCCTGTTGAACATATTGATGATCCATATTTTCAACAATACATAATGTAAGTATCGGTGGGCCTACCGAATTACCTGTAATTAGAGATGGGCTAAATGATTCCATCGATGTAGCCGCTACAATGATTCCAGCTACACTCGTGGACTCATTACAAGTAACCGTTCCGATTCCAAACGATTACTTCGTTACCGCCGTTACAGAGTAGCCGCAATCGACCGATTGCACTCGTAATCGTCATGGTATTGATACTCCGATGTATTCCAGTTACAGTAACGCCTTTTGAATCAAAGTTTACTGAAGCCAAATAAATATTTGTTTGGGTTTGTATCGCAATAAATACAATTTAAATGAGTTTCCAATATATAGTATTCATGAATTATTAATCATCAATCAATCATCTAATCTATCATTAATTAATTTAAATTTGTATATTATTACACAAATTTATACAATCAATTACTGTAGCAATTTGTAACAATTAAATCATTCTAAGGAAGGTTAGAATAAACAAAACTACGAGATATGTTTTTGCACATTGTAATCAACACAATTTTAACTAACATTATTTTCAAATCATACTGGATTTCTCATTCAAAAATATCAACTGTTCACCCACGGGTGCGAGGCGGCGGCAGAGTTAATTAAGCGGAGCGAAGCGAAGCTCTTTGGGATCAACTTCAATGCAATATTTATAAGTGTTGGACTGGACTGTGAAATGGGGTTATCTCGCTTGTCAAGCAAGCTGGTAGCTGGACTCATTTACGGAATCGAAACGGCATGGAATCATCTTCTCTAAACGATTCCAGATACATCGATTTGCTACTATAACAAAGCAATCGGAACCGGTACTCTGATACTTGAGTAACAATTACTTTAGCACCAACCATGTAACGATTACAAAGTAACGATTCCAGTACTTCATTCCCACCTCTACCTGTAATTGCTTGTAGTGCACTAAACTTGCAACAGGTAGACATTTGCATGGATCGAGAAAAACTAAAGTCTCAAAACCAAAAAGAAGTCTAGTCTTAGCACTCAGGGTAAAAGGTCTCGGCCTAGGCCTATCCAAACCGAGAACAAGCCTAATGAAGATAATAACTATGGGACTTACACAAATACTGACCAAGATTTTCCCCATTTCCCTTACACTTTGGAATCTGGCTACAAACCACCAATAGGCTACAAACCTAATAGCCCATTACAGTTTTTTCAACTGTTTATGACAGATGAACTTTTAGAAACAGAAACTATTGTTACTGAGACAAATAAACAATGCTAAGGTTGTCATTTCTAATGAGAGGCTGTTGCAAAAAAATTCAATCTGGCACTCATAGACTGATGTAACGTTAGAGGAGATAAGAGCATTCATCGGAGTGGTCCTAAACATGGGACTCAATACTAAACCCTCGCTTCAAGACTTTGCTCAAGATTGGCTTTATAATCAACCATTCTTTAGCCAGGTATTTTCCAGGAAAAGCTTTTCCAAATATTTTGGACTTGAAAGTGTTCGAGTACCGGTGGTACCTACCGGTAACCGGAACCGGATGTTCGGTGGTAACCGGATCACGAGGGGACAAGCTAAAAAATATAATTGCTTACCTTCAGACTAAGTTTACAGAGTACATTGTACCTCCATCCATCTGAGATTTCTATGGAAGAAAGTACTATTTCGTTCAAAGGTACTTCACGCAGTACAACCCCAAAAAAGCCGATTAAAGGGGGTCTAAAGGTTTTTGTAGTATCTGATGCCAGGCCAGGATACATTTTCACGTTTGAGATCTTACCTTATCCTGACTTGCAATTCACAACCAAAATTGTTTTGCTGTTGGCACAAAGAGTGAGGCAAGTATGTGGGCCAGATTGCGGTTTCCACATATATACTGACCGATTGTATACAAGTTTGTCATTAGCTAAAGAGTTTCTAAAGATATAAATGCATCTTACTGGTACAGTCAATTCAAATAGACAAGGTAATCCCAGTCATGTAAATAAGAAAAGGCTAAAGGGTCTTTTGAAGAAACTTGAGACAGCAGCCTACCGTCACAAAGACAATGTTTTGGTGTTAATGTGGCGGGACCAGAGACATGTCATCATGATGAGTTTGTGTCATAACTGTGATATGCAATTGGTGAAAAGAAGAGAAAAAGGAAGAAAAAGAGATGAAATTGTCTCCAAACCAGTTGTTGTATGTGATTACAATGAGAGAATAGGAGGAGTCGACACTGCCGACCATTACATATCGTCCTACATGTTTGTTCGGAAATCTAAAGTGTGGTGGAGAAACTGTGGTTCTGGCTTATGGAAGTATGTGTTGTCAACAGTCTCCTTCTATACAACATGGACTCCCATCGATTCAAAGAGATTTAGGGAAATGCTGATCACTGAACTTGTTTCTGGTGTACGTAACAAATCTTATTCTCAGCGAGGTCGTCCTTCTTCGGCTGACCAAGAAGATAGGTTAGATAAAAAACCTTATTTTATTTATGCCAATGAAAAAAGCAACAGCAAAAAGTGCGCTGTTTGCAGCAACAGGAAAGCTGGACAGAGAAAAGAAACAGTGCATTTCTGTGCAAGAAAACCAGGCCTTCACCCAGGGCAGTGCTTTAAATGCTACCATACCCTGAAAAACTATAAGGTGTAATGAGGTAGGTCTATTTCATTGACAAAAACACTGTTTCAATCCTTATATAAGTTGTGTTCATTTTATGTTATTATTATTTTAGGCCTATTCTTGCTTCTGATTGAATTGTAGTAGTGTACAAGCGATATAAAATATTTAGTTCTTGTTTATTTATGTTTTTTTAGGTAATACAGTTTTGAAGAAAAAAATACTTATTACTATTTTCAACATAAATATTTAGTTTCTAAGCAACAGCATAATTAAGTTAGCCTATAATGATATTTAGTTGCTACAAAAACTGAAATTTTCACTAAAACCATTTTTTTTACAAAAATTCCTATTTTTTAATAAAGTTTTTTTCACACATAAAATTGTGTCTTTTAATTATGTAAATCACTTCAATATATATTGTATAAGGACATACACAATGTAAATAAATCACTTTTATACTCTTATTTCTATAAAAAATCTATCAAAAATCTTGTTATTCCAGTTTAAAAAAAATTGTTTGATGAGTTATGTATAATAATTTTTTTTAAATTATAAATACTGGTTTCTTTACCTAAATATGATCTTTGAGTCATACAGAATTAGGAAAAAAATTACTAGCATTCTACAAATAAAGACAGTATTTATTTTTTGGCAAATAAATGAAGTGTGCAAATTTAGCTAAAATTAAATGGAGCTGGTGAGTAAATAGGCCTTCCGTTAATTTGAGTGGACAAGAATACAGCTTTAAAATGCTTTAACAATTTGCTTATTACCATGGCAATGAATTTATTTATTCATTGGTACTTTTATGTCATGCATAAGAGTTCAAATGAAACACAATCTGGAAGTCTAGTTGATTTACCCAGCAGCTAGGTAAATCACACGACGGAGGTTTACTTTCAAATTGTACAACACTTTTGGTTTATCGGCATAGACTAGTTACTTTACGTATGCCCTTAAAACTGCCGGATTTGGAGTGAAGAAAATACAATGAAGAACCTTTTATTAACGCCGGTGCATCCATTAAAAGTCACTGGTATAAATTGTAGGTTAGTGGGATCATTAGCCCTTTTTAGCGAATTTCCCATATAGGGAATAAGCTATTACCGTAGGTCTCATGGTAAGACTTAGTCCTGGGACCGATTTACTTTTTCATTTTGATGTCCCTAGAAGCCAAAACACCATCCGTTCAAATTCATATATATATATATATTTATATATACAAATAAGTAAAATAATAAAAACCAGAGTACCCTGAAATTCATTTTTATTCAACTAATACGTATTTCAGCACTAAGGCCATGGTCACAGTATTATAAAAGTACGTAAACAAACAAATAAATAAATAGTTAATAACATGTTTTGAATGCATAGTAAATTTCGATTAAATGGTTAGGTGTATTTTTTTAACATGTGAATGTATAAGATTCTTCCCTGATTTGTCTGATTTTTTCATGAATTGGATTTTGTTTTAGCGAATTTCCCATA